TATTATTTTGCCTATTAAGGAGGCCTGGGACTCACCATCTCCTGCTTTCTAGCCCGGAGCCTCCACCACTAGACCAATGTGGCTCTCCCATGGGTTTAATGACTCCTGGCTCTGTTCTCACACCCTTGCTACACATGGGTTAACAACCCGAGTTGTTGGGTTCTCATAACGCACTTTCTCATTCAGGCGTTCCCTTGCTTGTGACCGCTGGCCTGGCCGTCGTCCTGCCCCAAACAGGTAAAGAGCCAGAGATTTGCTTGGTGAATTCCTTCAATCCCTACCATTTAGGTCAATGTGCAGACCCAAGTCTCCAAGCCTTGGCTTGCCAATCATGGGTTACTAAACAAGCCACTGTCTAGGTTCACACAACCCGTGAAGGTTTAGGACAGAGCCCGAACCTAAACATGAATTTAAGACCCCAACAACGTAGGCTGGCAATATTTTCTCGCGACTGTCCCCCTCCAGTGCTGTTTTGTATAAAAATGGCAAATGCTCAAACATTAAGACTGTTTTTCTCCCCAACGAGTTAATTTTCTGGGCGCAGCCTTCCAACCCTGCACCCTCCTGGGAAGAAGTAACATCCGAATGCCCTATTTTGCAGCTGTTTGCAGGCTCAGTTTGCTAAACCGACACTCCTGCTTGTGAGAACCCACCCAGCAAGAGGAACATATTTTTATTTATATTTATATTTCAAATATGTCACCACCCATCTCACTGTGGAGTGATTTAACATTCCGGCGTCACGAGAGCCAACCTGGTTTCGTTACGCAGCGTCGCCCAAGATAGGGGCCTTTTCCTGCTGGCCAGGCTGCCACGAACTCTGGACTCCTCACCTTTAGCCAGATGTTGTCACTCCAAGGATCACAAGCCGGCATTCTCAGTTAATGGACTCTGATGCAACAGGGCTCCTGCGGCAGGAATTCTGAATCTCAGCTCTTGCCTTAAGACTTAAACCTTCCTTGTTTGGTTTTAAGAAATCATTAAGAACAAAGCTATTTAAGAGGAACTTCAACAAAGGCAGTCGTCTCCTTATTTCTTGTCACTCGTTTGCCCTGGTTAAAACAAAGAACTTTCTGATGCAAATTTAAATTTTGAGCCATTTAATTCTACTGCGGACATGATATTGCAAAAAACCCGGCTCTAACCCATCAAGATTTGACCGGCTGCAATAGGCTAAAATTGAATAAATAAATGAAAGCAGGTTTCTGGTCCTTATGGGGGACAAGTTGAGTTCACACCAACTTTATATTGTTATTTAGAGTTTTTAATTAGCCATCCTCATGATCGTGAGATGGGAGACTACATAAACCAGATGCATAATAAATTTGGTTGAGGTTCTGCATCGTGCTTTTCCCTAAGTGGACAAAACAAATAAGCCAGGTTCCCATGCTATGCCCAGACAAATAAACCGTGTTAGGGTTCCCACAATATGCTAAGATAATAGCTGTTATTTCCATGGGAAATGCACAGCGCAATGAGCCACAGATTCCTATTTTAGCCCTTATGATTAAAATTTCCCCTCGGAGGCCCTTCGAGGTGCTGGACTTGAAATCTCACGATCCCCTGCTGGCTGGGGATAATGGGAGTTGAAATCCAACCGATCTATCTATTCCGGACCAGTTGGGTGTCTTAAGCCTACCAAATAATTTCTGAATGACTTGACTTTTATGCAAGATAACAGGGGATGCAGACGGAGCATAGATCAAATTGCATTTTTGTTCTTTTGCACAGGACATGCCTCACTGGCGCTAATCCCACACCACTCTGCACGTGGTAATCACACCATGGGTCACAACACAGCTCCTTTCGGTAGAGGGGTGGCTCTCTAAATGTGTTTAATAAAAATACATCTTAAAAATCTAGTTACGAAGACAAACGTCAGCCGCCCTTGCTGGTGTCGAACATGTTCCACTGGATTCTTTGTTCCTTTTTTCAGCCCCTCCAAAGGGGGATGTTTGCAAACATCTGGATAACGCAGCTATGCTCAAAGCAAGTACTTGAAAGGCTGGAGTAACCCTCCACAGCCACTCCCATGTGCAGTGACTCCTATTGCACCCAACACATGGAAAACACCCATCCATTAACCTCCCTGTGTGAGTCATCCCAGATCAGACACTGGTTAAGCCATCGTGGTTTGTTTAGCATACATACCTATCAACATGAGTCAGTGTAGACCCTGCAATTTTCTTGGCCAGATTTTCAGAAGTGGCCTTCTTTATACAAAATCAAGTTTGGGAGTTGACGTCCACACATCTTAAAGGGGCCAAGGTTGAGAAACACTGGTATAACGTATAAAAACCCAACAAACACTTTTTTAAGCACTGGAGGCCCAAAACACTACAAGAGAAGTATGGAATCTCAGCCCCCTTGTTAAGAATTAAGGCAAGTTTCTAGTCCTTATGGGGGAAAAGTTAGTGAGGTCACACAGCGTCTGCTACCTTTCCACATCACACTTAACCCTAAACCTAGGTTAACATTTAGAGAGGGTTCAATCAATATCCAGCCACAAACAAGAATGCTGTATTTTGTCTGATCACGATATATGAATGTTCAGGAGCCAAGGGTAAATTTAAACCATATTGTACCGTGGGCAGACTGGTCTACAGCTCCAGGCCAATTTCAGAACTGGATTCACACCTATCCGTGACCCATGGTTTTTTCAATCATGGTTGAATGAGTAACCCAGCCGGATTCCCACGATACTGCCAGAAACAATAGTTTAGAAAGAGTAACATCGGGCTTCACGAACCATGCTAAAGCAGAGCCAAAGCAGCCTTTTAATTGTTTTGCAACAAGCCACAGCTAGAACAAGCCACCAGGCAAACCATGGTTAGAACTAACCATGGTTGGACCCACTGCTTGCAGTAAGTGGAAAGAATGTAGCTGAACCAAAAAGAAACCTAGAT